CTAGCCCTGGTTGTGCAGCACTTTCCTTTTCCTTTCCTTTTTTGTCATTGTGCGATAAAGTAGGCGCTGCAAGCGGATTGACCCATTCAAGCCTCTTACCAGAACATGATCCACTCAGCGGAGCACTGTTTGGCGCATCGGCTCCCTCTACTATATGCACCTTCATTGCACCTTCATCCTCGAGTGGACTGGCTCCCTCAGTGCCTGTGTCTGTATAGGAAATTCCCAGCGTCTCTCGCGATGCCGCGTCTGTTAGATAATGCTGCACATCCGGGAACCCATACTCATCGCACGCGGCAAAATGAATCTCAAGCGCGCGAGGACGAGTTATCCGCCGTGCGATGCAGTGGCACCGATTGTGACCACTGACCCACTTTCTTCTGAGTCGCCGTGCCACTTATTCTAGGGGAGTTGATCAACTGGTAACGGAATTGCTTGAGATCATAGTAGTCAATCCAGAAGTTTGAGCTGGTTGGCTCTTGTATATTGATGATCATATACTTCGCCGTGCGGCGCTCTTAGCCACCATAAGAGCTGCAGTGACTAGAAATAGCGCAATGCCGAGATCCCCACCTGTCCTGACCATGACTGTGGGGTTCACGTTGTGGCCACTCGCCGGAAGTAGCACGGTATCTTCTCCTATCTATCTAACAGAAGAGATATACGGTTGTACTTTCACATGAGATCGAATAGATGTGAAAGCGCAATGCCGTTTTCGCAGAGCCACCGCAACGTGGATGTCCTGGCCCAGACTCCCTCTAAATATGGCAATTTGCAGCTATTACTTTTTGTATCTATGAATCAACTACAAGTCAAAGCGTCGAACTTCTGTACCGATGCTCACCTTGTATCCGTCGGCTCCACCATAACGTTCTATCGTGGATTGAACAGCCTTCTCTATATATTGGATGTCGTAGTTCTCACCAAAGACGTCACGACAGATGTCGGCGTAAAAGCTGTGGATCAAATAATTATTTCACTCACACCTACGTTTTCATCTGCAGTCAGTTCTGATAACAGTCCTTATCTTATGTTAGGCATGCCCATGGTTTTCATCCTGAGTGCCTCGACGGGATGCTGTGCAGGCCTGTGTCCTGAACCGCGGTCCACAGATGCACAGCCGCTGTCGCGCTCACTACTAACCATGAGTCAGTCGACCCTCCTTTCTGACACCGAGATATGGATTGTAGGATGCTGTTGGGCTTGGGAGGGACATTTTGCGCACTTGCTAATTCCTTTCGCTAGTCCATGTCAACTGCCAGGTCTCATTTTGGTGGGACCTGTAAACTCTTGAAAAGTGCAACATGGCACAGTGAGCCACTTTGGTTACAAAAATCCACAGGTCTTCACAAGGTGACCTATACAGGCTTCGTTGAGTATCATTGGACACCCCCACCGAGCCGCACTGCGCTGGGTCCGAAAAATGTCCAGTCATATGACCGATCATAGAGTTTCTCGACTATATTGTGGCCGCTATTGTATTCATTTCGTCAGCAACGAGCATAGAACCTGTCTTCTTGACTTCTTAACTAAAGAAGTATGTGTCCTTCATTACATAATGGATGCTGATTATCCCGTCAAAGGACAAGGCGATGAGGAGGGGGAGGGGGACTGTAGACTGGAGCTAGCCGGGGCGATCTTTTTCACATCAAACTGGGCCCACAACAATTGGTGGAGGAGGCGGCTGTCCTGGCTGCGCTCTAATGTACACTCGTGTTTGCAGGAACCATGGCTGCATTAACGTAACAGACTCAACTCCATCCGAGCCACCATCGCTCCCCCTTGGTCCCTGTTCCCCTCGTATAATACACCTGGAGGATCTAGAGGGTGTCCAAAATGGAGCTGTAGCTGTTAATCAGTTCGGCAGTAACAATGTCTTCATTAGGAAGACTTTTTGTGGAGTTCATCGAAGCACTGATTGGGCACACAGCGAAGAAGCCATGAGCATTGTGACTAGAAACAATGAAAGAGTTCGCAGACAAGCAAAACAGCTACTGTTTCCGTGGTTTTTTGTGCCGTTTTTGGATTTGAGTGGGCGTGGTCTGTCTCCCATCTCGAATCAACGCACTTGCAAGAGTCGCGAAAGCGGTAGCACTTGTGTGGTTCCGAATGTGTGGTTGACTACCTCACGCGTGCATGGATTAGTTCGACTCAGCAGATCGTAGAATGTGCTCTACGGAGTTTCAAATATGATTCGCCTAGGAGAGATTTCGCAGTTTGTGTAATTTTACCTCAGTGAGACTAGTGAACCAAAAATAGTGTCTCCACCGACAGCATCCGTTGTTGGGAAGGAGGCAAATTCTGTACAGCTCTGCCACATCCAAGCACGATCATAGGCTGAAATCGGCGATTATACTTAAAGCTCATCAATGTGGGAAAATTGGCTGATTCGTCTTCAGGTGGAAGCAGTGTAGAGGTACGAGGCGCCGCTACTCTGAATGCAGTGCTTGGAACGAATTTCACCCATATTTACCGCTATTACACCTGTAGTTCTGGAACGCTATACCCAGAAGAACGCTTTATTCCAATCACCGTCATCTTTGTCGTGCACGACGAGAACAAACGCTTCACATACCAGTAAGTGTATAAAAACAATGAAGTTAGCAAACGGTGGATACTCAGGTCCGTTGAGGAAGCACTATGCACCCTATTCCACTGGCTGATGATCTGGTTGCGTATAGATTCGAAACAGAGGCTCGGCGCGGTAGTGGAAGCGGCAGCTGGGAAACAGACACCAATATCCTCTTAGATAGGCATGGGTGGGTGAGCAGATTCGCCGTGCTGTAGAAGCGACCTGCACCGCGTATTCGCACCAGGACGCTTGAAATAGCGCGCAAGCGCTAAAGTACAATCTTATTTACTGCGGATGGTGGGGCGTGTCAATGAGGCCGCGCAGCGCGCCGCCGGTGCGTTCTCTGCCAGTTTCTGAAGCGGGCAAGCGACAACATCTGATGGAAAATGGCTGATGCGAACGAACAGATACAGTCCTGTCCCTTGCCCAAAGAAACAAAAAAATCGGGCTGGCGACGCGCTAAATCATTACCCTTTGGCACTCCCCATCTCCACAGCGAACAAAACTTTGAGTCATGCCATCTAGCCAGGAAATATTAGCTACTCCGTGTAAGTCATTGCCACAGGGGTCTTCCGAGTCGTACTTATTTGGCCGATTCCGGTTGAGTGAAACTGATAGGTTGCCGCTCAGGACCAATGGGGACTTCTCATTTCATTTCTTAGTTTCCCCAGAAAATAGCAAGCATTGGTTCTTTACCTACTACGAGGGATGGCGCGGATGACCTACAGTCTCATCCAGGCAGTTGATTAGGCGGTCGAAGGGTCGCAGGCACCGCTGCAGCAGCGACCGCGCACGTAGGAACTGCGGCGGCGATCAGCAGTTTTTAGCCTGGTTTGGCTGTTTTCTCCCTATTTTCATTGTATTTTCTATTTTTTTTGCGTTAAGTGTTTGTGTTCTCTTTTATGAAATATTATTAGGACCTGGATTCTTTTTTGTACGTCTGTTTGTTTGATTGTTTTCTCAGCATCCTTTTTTGGCGGCTTTCTTCTCTCGTTACTGGTTGTCTGTTACCGTAAACAGGAAACAACATCGCGATTGTGGTAATGAAGAAAAACCAATCGAGGAGCGATCAAAGAGAGCAATGGATTCACAAGAATACGCTGGAGTGAGTAGTATTAAACACATTTCAAACAAAACGTTTCAAAAACTGCTCGGAAAAACACTCCAGCGCCAAGGAATCAGGAAAAAATCTCAATCCACTTATTTCACTTCAAGAAGGCATAGTAAGCAACTAACTTTGGAAAAAGCAGCAACAAAAAACAGTCAAAGTATGGCAGAAAATAGACTTTAACCAGGGCCGGGAACAAGCTGATTCCCATCATAAAAACAGTTTCCCAGGTATAACGGTCGCTGCTGGCTGTGAGCACCAGCCGTCAGCGACCTCAAATCGCCTAATCAGAACTGCTTCGGGATGACGACTGTGACGCAAAGTGGATAATCTCAAGAATCAGATGAAAGGAATAATTACACAGTAATCTGCACGCATCGAACCCTCCATCCCGCCCTTCATCCCATATCGTTTTATATATCTCGCATGCAAAGGCTTCTGGGCTGTCAGACAAATATATAGAAGACTGGTGCATAGCTTGAAGCGGTGCAGCTGCCCTAGCGATATTTGTATATTTCCAAGCCGACTCTACTCTCTTAGGCAGCGTTCATACTTCGCGACAGCACCGGCGATCGTGGCGATCGCCGCGATCGTCGGTGCGCCACAGAGCGCGCCCCAACGCTATTACTTGGACTCTCACTTCGAAAAATAGGGGAATCCAACTTGTGAAACCTTTCTTCTCCTTATAATGGCAAGCGAATTCCTCCTAATAGCACTCGGAACGTTCCAAGTAACAGCTTGGGGCCATCGCCACCGCGTCGCGAAGTATGAACGCTGCCTTGTACATACGTCTCCGCTCTCTTCCATCTGAACCCTTCCGCTCCGTCCTACCTTGCGGTCAACCCCATAGAATGAGTATTTGAAACCGAAAAGGACGCATCAGCCAAAAAGCTTTATCTTTCTGAACTGAGCGTAACGTAGGCATTGAAAACTCACTATTGTAGCCGTCCTTGTCGAAGTTGTCTTGTCGAAGATATTTAATGAATTCGTCGTAATTAATCGGGTGGTCATGGAAGAACTCGCTGAGGGTAGCTAAACAAGGAAAATAGTTGGAGAACTTTTTCTTGTTCTTTCTTTCTTAGTATGGTCCGTGTGCTCCTACGTTGCTCGAAATTAACAAAAAAAGGATAGCTTTTCCTAAAACGTCTTTGACGCAGTGCCTTGTAATGGGTACATCTTGTAATGTGCACGTCTAGACAGTGTTATCATCATGTGATTGTCGGATTTTTTGAATTCTTGTCCTGATATATGCGGTATCGCCGTGCACTTCTACGCGAAAACTTTTCTTCGGGCGAATCGTGAACTCCTAGGAGTGCACTCGCCTTTTTGCTCTTCTTGCAATTTTATTCATTTTTACAAATCGTACGCAAATAATAATGCATGTAATATACAAATATTACCACTAACATTTACTGTGTTTTTTCTGGAAGAAGCTGATTTTCATTTAAAAGTCGATTCGGATAATTACGCCATCTGGAATCAGGATTCCTGATCGGAACCAGCTTTCTTCAAAAGTAAAAAGGGAGAAATTTCGAGTAAAATGAAAGAGAATACAAGAAAAACACATTAAAATGTCCGTAGTCTTACTTATGTGTTATTCTCATTATTACTTGTACACAATTTTCAGTAAAAAAAATTCTCTGGTGGGTTAGAATTAACCTCAACAAGTACGAAGAACCCACTCTGCTCATCAAAAAGATGCGCGGAAAGTTCTTCCGAAAGTTCTTCTCATTGAGAGAAATACAAACAAATGTTCAGGAATATACCGCACAGAGAGATTTGCCAGAATGGGCAAGGGGACAGTTTGTTTGTCGCCCCGCGGCACGTCGCAAAGGCGGATTTTGGCAAATGCAATCGCTGCCGATATGTGTAAGTAAATGTCGTATGCCTCCGCAACGTGGATGTCATGACCCACACTGCTATCAGGAGGTCCTCAACTTTTTTTTACCTTTTAATACACCAATGCATACTACTAGTCTTCAGTTATTCGGAACAACATTAACAATAACTTGAAAATCTGCCTTTCTTATCGGTCTTGGCTTATCTTATGTAAAGAAGAAATTTGGGCGCACACGGGGGGGGGGGCATTTTGCGTTTTCGCCACTTCCCATTGATGTGTCGAGCCGTCTAGGAGCTATTTCATGAGCTTACAAGAGTTGACAGGTTTTATCATGGTAGCTCGACGAGCTTGCTCCAGCTTCACAAGAGTTCACAGGTTTCACCAGAGTGAGACTTGTAAACTGGAACTAGTGAAGCAGCGGAAGTGCAATAATGCCCCCCCTTCCGTCGCCGAACAGCGCCGAAAATTTGTATAGCTCGACACCTTACCATATATGCACCACCTCGTCGTTGTAAGCCCATTAGAAAGTTGTGCAGTAGCAATGAGGTGAACAGTTGTATGTCGTTGTACGTAATTGTTGTGAGATTCGAGAAGGAAGGCTTGAGACTGAGAAAGAAAAAAAGGAGTGAAGAATGGGTGAGTAAGTGGAGGAATGAATTTTGCATTCCTTTTATGAGCAGCGCCACGCTATATGCTAGGGAGCAGGGTTTCAAAGGCGAAAGTGTCATCATAGTGGTATCCTAACAAAACGATAAACAGAAAAACAGCGGAAAGAGCCTCAAGTACACACCCCACACTCCACCCTTCTATAGAATTTCTTCCTTATGCAGGTAGTGCGGTTCACAGTTTTGAGGGCTGTCGGTCTCTCGGAGTGGGGGGGGCATGCTGCGGCGATAATAAGTTGGAGGTAAGCCGCTCGTAGGAGGTGCCTAACCTTCTTGAAGCCAGCATATGGCAGCGTCCCTGTGCCTGTGATTAGGCAGCTCTCAGACTCTGCGGCGACGCGCGCTGACGCGCTGTAATACGCGTCAAGCCTTATAGTTGCAACAGCGCTCTAGGAGCTACAGACGCGGCCGCAAACGACCAGTGCCGATGATAACAGTCTGCGTGGCTAGGCGAAGTACTCTCAGGGTACGTCCTGCCGCTGGGGAAAATTTCCGGGAAATACGACCCTTCCAATGTTATTGTCTGCCGCGCCCACTTCCCTGTTGCAATTGTAGCGTTACAGCGGGTCGATGCGCGTCATCTCGATATCTGAACGCTGCCTTACAGGTGTCATCCATTCTCTGTGGTACCAACTTAAGGTCGCCCTCGTTTCCCTGCTGGTCTTCCTGCAAAGGGCGTGTTTTTGGAAGAGATTCTGCTCCCCTCAAATTGTTCTTATATCTCTATTCTCTTGGAGAATTTGAGAGCTGGCTGGAGGATGCAGAACACTTTCGAATCTGCGGTCGTTGCGCTGCTTAGTGATGAAATGATTAGACACCACAGACGCTTGTTAGTTGTACTCACGAACTCGCTCCTTCGGGTCCTATGGCTCCGAGTGATGCTCTAGTAAGGCTTTTTATAACAGCATGTATTAATGGCCAGTCCTTCATCCCTCCCTGGAATGGTTGCTTATTGAGACTCTGTGGATGAATAATTATAGGCGTTTATTTGATGTACACATGCCTTCTTTGAACCTGCCCAAAAATGGTAGAGGATGTACTACTCTCAAGCTAAACTATAAGCGTTAATGTTGATGTCCAGACGATCTTTAGTTTGCTGCAAAAGCCATGGAAAGTGTACTACAGTGTCGGCAGCTGCAGCATACATGAGCGAGGACGCGACCCGCTCCCAATGAGGGCCACTGGCCACAGCAACGCCCAGTCTTCATTTCCAAAGGCTGGTGTAGTTCCGCTACTAGATCTCTCCATTTCGAATGGTGAGAGTGGGGAGATAAAACAAAAGAGCTAGCAGCAAAAGTGGAGAACTCGTCCGACCACGCCTTTTCTTCGCTTTGCGAGCTGAACCGGTAGCGCGCGGGTTCTATGATGAGCATTTGCGGGCGTCGTTTCTCCTGCATTTTTGTTGCTCGCCATATGTAGTTGATATTTGAGCCATACGAAAGACTATTTTTGAGTGTGGGGCGTGTATTTTAACAGTATTTGGAAAAAAGACTGGTCTCACATTGAAACAGTTCGGGACAATTGTTCTCGGCCAAGTTTGGTGTTCAGCATGTCGATCACCTGTGCAAATGCAATTTGTATATTCTGGCCACATTTGTTGTCATGTCTACGATATACTTGTTCAGCCATTTCTATATATTCTGAAATGTAACAATTGTTTTTTTTTATTTCACAGCATGCTCTACTCCCCTTTTTGGTAGCTGCAAGTCCGTAGAGGGAACAGAATGAGATCAAGGGCACATAATCAGTTGGGGAATTCTGCCGCGACCGTACGACCCCCACGCCCCACCCCCTCTCCCTGTTCCCTCCTCTGATCGAGCTGTCGAGAGGGGAGGGAGAGGAGGGGGGGGGGGAGAGAAGAAGAAAGAAAGAAAGAAAGAGAGAGAGAGAGAGAGAGAGAGAGAGGTATATTGTGTACCTGAAACAGAAAACAGTCGTGAGGAAAATTGCGACCCCAACCCATATTACCTACCTCTTTCTTAGATTTTCCCCCACCTTTCTACCGTTTTCCCGAAATTTCCCATTTCTCAAAAATTTCACTGTTGAGCGGGGAGGGGTATATAGCACAAGTCAATTACAGAAAACACCAAAACCGCGAAAACTCAACAACCGAAAAAATTTTTCCCAACACGCAAGTCAAATCGACCTCCCTCCCCAGCAACGACCGATACGACCTCCCCCCTTCTGTTGAAATGTCCAACGATGATGTGCCGTGAATGAGGTGTCCTGTTAATAGTATGACGGGGCATGGGTTGGAGCACTATCAGGGCAGCCGTTCCAGCTGAAAAGTCTGCCTTGGCTGCTCTCCAATTCACGCCCCTTCACATACCCTCTCGTTGGCGGGTTTTATCTTTGTACTTACCCCAAAAATCAACTTTTGGCTGTAGCAGTGGTGAGCTACCGACAGCACCAGCAATCAGCTCTGGATATTTTTGTCGAGCCCAGAGGGCCAGGGAACGGCTTAACGATATGTCCTTGATTTCTCATAAATTCTAGTAACAAGTAAGTTGGTGAGAAAGTGACGAGACAATGAATGGGGCGCCACGCATCCAACCTCCATCTAGAATCGCAAAAATTTGCAACCATATAAGCCTTTTCAGGGGTTGTCATTAGCAAGCGACTATTCGTTAGCATCTGCGTTCCCAGACAAGTGTTTGTCCTGGAATAGCCTTGAGGATTGAGTTGATTAGTATTCTATCAGGAGTGTGGTATCTTCTTCCCTCCCAAGAGGTGGAAGCAGTAATGCGTTCATTCTTTTGAACTGTGGCGTACTTTGGCCTTGAAGGGACATTTTACCGGTTCTCATCGATCACAGCCGATAGGGCACGTCGTGCCGCTGAGGGCAATTTCCGGGAACTACGATCCCCCCTCACTTTCGTCCTCTGTTACGGATACCCCATCGCCCAATTCCGGGTTTTTCTCCCCCCCATAAATCCTATCAGCTGTCTTGCATGTTCTTGCCAACTTTCTGAACTTCCTACCACTTTTATCGGGATTCAAAATTCCCGAAAATTTCGTTGTCCGGGTGGAGGAAAACAGGAAAAATCAACTATCAAAAACTTATCCCATCAGACCAGAAACGATTTTCTCTAGCGACCAATTGCGCCCCATTCCTTTCCCCCCGCGCGCTGGGGATTTCCCAAGGACGCGCCCTGCTAATGGTGCACCCGGTGGGGACTCGTGAACTCCTGTAACCCTGTGCAAAGGCAAGAACTTACTTTGCACTTGGCAAGTCTACGGGTCTCATCAAGGTGAAACGCGTAATTTAGCAGGAACTAGCGACAGTGCGAATTGCACCCCCTAACCGTGAAGCGCTCTAGTGCGCTGCTTGCAGGTTCTCTTACGAGGTCGCATCGCTTTGGAAGGCGATAGGACGTCGAAAGGCGCGTACGAAGATGAGGTGCTTTTGGTGGATAAGAGCATAACATCTGAACTGTGGAACTACGTTAGGTCTCTAACAGACCGCGATTCATTCAAAATGTTGGGGGACATCGATAAACTTGGCCACTCATCAAGCTCCTGAGGCGCCCAAAAACCAAAGCTAGTTACAACTACCCTACTGTCTGGAGCATTTCGCTGAGCTGAACGCCATTACGCGCGCGAAAAGTTGAGTTTGTCCACGCTCTTTTAATAGTTTTGATCATTCTGATTGAATTCTAACCTTATTATTAAATAAACGCAAATTAATATGAATAGAACAAAACAAAAAATCCGCAAAATAGTAATGTCAGGCTGAAGCACTCGCGGCGTTCGAAGCGATAGTGCGCCCCTTTCGTAGGCGCGCCTTATACTCCGGAAAATGTGGGAACTGTGCCGAGGTTGTAGGAACAGAAAGAAAATTATCGCTTCCATTATACTGTCTGAGAAAAACAAACTCGAACTACTTACCACCATACGATCCTCCAAATACTATCCATTTAGGGTCTTTGAAATTATAAACTTTGTTCATTGATTGTATAAATGTGGCGACGTCTTCAAGTGCTTGGCGACTATTGAGCAGTTGAAGATTCTTCACGGACATATCGCTGAAAATGTTTTCCAGTCTGGTTAATACTTTTATGCGCCACGCCTTCTATTCTTATTCAGAACTACATGATAAACTTCCGTCGACGCGCGACGACGCGCTGCAACGCGCGACCAGTTGCAACGGCCTCGACAATCCATAGATGCCGGACCACCCCGCATGCGAGAATAGATGCAGCGCTGGGCCCTGTGTGTGTAGAGAATAGGGGGAATTGGGTACGTGCTGCCTGGTCACGCAGTTCGGTATCGAGCGCTAGGGCAGCGCCGATTGATTCCTGTCTGCGGCTCCGTTTACGTTCATAGGATTGGAGCGTTGTTGCAATTGTAGAGCTTTACAAAGCGTTACAGCGCGGTGTAGTGCGTTAACGCACTTCATCGCAAACTGTAAAATGCTGCCTAATGGGTATTTTCGCTACAGATTCAAGGCTTGGAAGCACTAAGAGCAACATTTGCCGTTGCGACCATGCATACAGTAACAGCGATACATTCCAAGCAGGTGGGAAACCATTGAATAATGCTTTAGTGTCTGTCGTTTCGCTCCCCTTTCTATTCCTCGATCTTTCTCACTGACCCTCTCTCCCGCACTAACACTGTCTCATCGCCTCGCACTTCTTCACCGCACTCGCTGGAAGTTGAAGGTCAACTAAGAGTGAGTGTTTCACAGTTCCGTTTGCTTTTTGCTCTTTTTGCTCACTAATAGGTCAGTTGTTGCCCTTTCTATTCTTCCTCGATCCCTTTTCACCTGACGTCTCCTCCCGCCTAAAAACACTGTTCATGGCTCGCACTTCCTTTTCAACCGCAACTCGCTGGAAGTCTGAAGGTAACTAAGAGTGGTGTTTCACAGTTCCGTTTTGCTTTTTGCTCTTTTGGTGTCAAAATAGGTCAGTTTGTCCACAGAGCACAACCAGGATTTGCCATGTGTCAGTAAGATGATGAAAACCTGGGGCCCATGCTTATTAGGGTAGACTAAAAAGGATCAAGTGAGTGATTTCACGCATAGTACCTCGTGGTATATCTGGACCTTACGAATACTTCTATAAAATTCAGAAAATTTTGGGAAGAATGCCGACTAACTTGGTTGGATGGCTTTTTCCGTAGAAGCGATGTTCGAGAGCAAAGAGAATGGCCTCTTTCCTTACCCCCACTGCACGAATGGTATCTCTTCTTTATGGACCTGAAAATTTCATAAGCCATGCTCGAATTTGTCTGATTTATGAACTTTGCAAAAACTGTAGAGAAAATGGAAAGCTTGCACGATTATTACTGTGCTCCCAGAGACCCGCTTCAGGACATAGTGCGCGATCACCGTCAAGAAGTGGAACCCCTTGGTTCGGCCTGATCGCGGGTCTCACTTGAAAAGAAAGACAATTCCATCGTCGTGGTCATTATGCCAAGAATCATAACTATTCGTAGAAACTCCTCCCATCTGGAATGAGATACCCAAGCCTTTTAAGGATTTGTTTCTGAGCTAACTATCCCTCTTTTTAAGCTAGAGAACCCCTAAGCTACACTCACCCACCGTTTGTTGAACTGTTGCTCCCAGCATGAGAAAGACGACATTTCCTCCAGGGCGATGATATCGCAGATTGTAGAAATAACGCTGAAATCCATGATTTCAAACAGTACAAAACCTTGAAGCTGGCTCGACTGCCGAGCTGTTGATAAAACCCTAACAAGGCGACATATGTAGGAAACATTACCTGTGGCCAGGTGGCACTGGACTGGCTTGTCGAAATGATCGAGTTTCTGACTAAAGTAGGCTTCTATACCGCCGAATCCATTTTGACTCGCACGCTCATAAAAAAATTTCAAGGCCATTCATTTAGGATTGCTTCTATTAGGTTGGTGCTGAGAAATGCAGGTTTTGCTGCTTCACTAGTTTCAACTATATTTCATGGCAGTAAACAAGGGCTTAGGCAGGGTGAATTTTATGCATTGACAGAGAGCTTATTTATCTCCATTCTAAATATTTCCACGCGATTTGAGCGAAGGCTCTTTGCGAAAGGATTTGGTTTTGGTTGCTGATGTTTAGACAAGGTTTTCGTCAAATTAACTTCTACGAATACAAATTGGATAGTACTTCCGCTCAAACTGGAATATACGAGCGAGTTATGGGGTCACGGAAACTAAGGAAGCGATTGTTGGCATGATGCCAACAGAAAACTGGTCTAAAACTGCTTTCTTCTACCAGTATACTCGTGCAATATCGTGCAGAGCAAAGGCGTCGAGGACGAACCCCATAACAACCTTCCCTAATCACTTAATTACGATCAACTGAGAACGAATGCCGAAGCTGATCAAGTGAAACCGCGCTAATACAGTGCGTAACAAAAGTATGTGGACACTTCAAAATCTAGTTTTAAATTGTAAGCAAAAGACTTTCTTGATCTGGATCCCTCCTCAATCGGTTTCCTTCGTGGACGATAACCCTATATTTACTACGGGTACTCGAGCGATAACGAAGCTTCATTTTCGTAACATATTTTTGAATAGAATTTCCTTGTTTGTACCAAAAGTATGTGGACACCTGAGAAAGTCCAAAGTTTGGCTCCAAATCTGCAGATCCATTTTTATCGTCTCTACTTCCCATTAACCTGTATACACTCTCCGAAGACGAACAAACTCAGATTCGAGCTCTCAGTGCTGCTGGACACTCGAATAGAGAAATTGCAAGACAGCTCGGACGTTCGGCGACGTGCGTTGGTAAATACCTCCAGAATCCTGATGGCTACCATTCAGCACATATTTCGGGGCGTCCTCGATCTTTGTCCGCAAAAGACATCAGAAGAATAGCGCGGTCGTCAAACTCCCCTCTGTGGCACAGATCCATGCCGCGATGAATCTACCGGTCTCAAAAATGACGATATGGCGCTCTATTCGATCAAATGAGCACATCACTCGAGAGACCATGAAGAAAGCTCTCGTCTGACTGCCCAACACCAGCTGGCAAGACTGCGTGTGCAAGCATGGCGACGTCGTGGGACAAGGTGCAGTTTCTTGAGATATTTGTAAAATCAGAAAGACAACATCTTATGCGCATTTCTTTCTTTAGGTTATCTTCACTGATGAGAAAAAGTTCAATCTCGACGGTCCAGATGGATATCGGCACTACTGGAGAGACCTTCGTCGCGATCCGTTGGTGTTCTCGAGGCGAAATTTCGGAGGCGGCTCTTTGATGGTGTGGGGTGGTTTTGGAAGCAGCGGAAAGTTGGAGCTTGCCTTCCCATCGTGCCGTATGAACAGTCAGGAATACCAAGGAGTGCTCGAATCCACTAGGGAAATGGCTCCAACGCAATGGTATCAAAGTGATGGATTGGCCGGCGTGTTCTCCTGACTGCAACCCAATCGAAAACCTGTGGGGATCATGGTTCGACGAATCTACATGAACAGTCGGCAGTACAACAGCGTGCGAGACTTGAAGGAGGCGGTAGTTGCTGCATGGGAGGAAATCGACGAAGACACCATGACAAATCTTGTCCACAGCATGCCAGACAGAATGTTCGAAGTAATAGTGAACGCTGGAGGAAATACCAACTTCTATTTTCCACGATACTTTTGTTTTTTGTTAAGTGTCCACATACTTTTGTTATTAAGAAACTTTTTCAAAACCAATAAATAATTGTACAGTAGTTCACAAAGTGCTCAGAAGAAGTGTATTCCTATGCTTTCGCTCATGAGGAATTCAACAGTAGAGGTCTCATATCGCAAAATACAAAGGCTTGCACAACAAAAATATGGGGTGTCCACTTACTTTTGTTACGCACCGTATTGTCAACATCGGTCACAATACACTTG